GACTCAGTTAAGGACCAGCACTTTTAATTAAGTTTGTCTGGGATTTTTTTGGCAGACTGGAGCTATTAGGTTTTATGTTTACCAGTGTAGTTACCACATACAGTCACTGTTAGTCTGCATACTAAACCTCCCTGTAAAATTTTCGTGGAAAAAAATTAGGTGTATTTGCACAGAAAACACATCTGTAAACAATAAAGCTTCTGTTGCATTAGCTTTCTCCTCTGTCCTTCTCAGAGATGCCCAAAGACATCTGTTTGTTGCACAGCCTTGAAAATTTCAGCTAAAAGAAATAGGCTTTGCTTAGGTATCCAATAAAGGCGCAAATGTGTGCGTAGAAATGGTAGACTTGACAGTAAATGGACTACAGCTGGTATCATGGTTTTGTTTCATTCTCAGTGATAAACTCCTATTTTTTTTTTCTTGGTGTATATAACCCAGAAATGGGCAAAAGATTTTGATTGTGTTTTTCCCCAACATATGCTCTTGTACTGAATTTTTTATGCCAGCCTCGAGTAAGTTTTTAAATATATTATGAACCCTTGAAAACCTGATTTATAATGAAAGGTGATACATAGCAGCATCCTACCTTGGATCCTTTTAAACCTCTTAAGGTTAAATCATCTTTTTAATTATTTTATTGCATAAAAAATATCAAAAGTATCTAATCCTTTGGTTATTGCCCAAATAAAACAGATTAAAGATGCTGATTCTTCACTGCTTACACTTTATTTTATCATCTGTTATTATATGGAGCAGATAAGAAATATAATCTTTCTGATCATCTCTTTACAAAAGTGTGGTAACCCCAAAATCCCAGAACCTGTTCAGCCAGAAAGGATTTTTCATACTCAAGATTTAAGGTAAGGTTGCACCTCAGTCTTCAGCCTGGGAGGCTGCTGTGTACTGCTCTTATATCTGTCTTAAGGCTTGCTTCAGCTAGTGACTCAACAGTTTGGTGATGGTGTCAGCTGTTGCCTTTCAGCTGAGACAGCTGCATGATTCAGAGAATATTCCCCCTTTCTGGTTCACTGCAAAGGCAGAGGTTAGCTAGGCTCACCTGAGATTTAACAAGGCAGTTTAGCTTTCCATGGGAATGGGAGAGAAGCACTCATGCAGGCAATGATGAACTTGGCTGAGAAGTAGTAATTAATAGATGTGTTTCCATTGATACTGTGACAAATGAAAAGAGTAGCTTGGGCCCCTCAAGTCCCGTCATGAAAGTACCGCATGATCCCTTCATTATCCATGCATCCTGTGCTGTTTACACTAATATTTTAAAGATGTCTTTAGAATAAATTAGCCAGTAGAAATAAAAGTGGCATACCAGTCATCGCGCTTTCTCTTAATTACAGCTTTGGCTTAGAGACATAAATTGAACTTCAGACAGTCACTGAAAATTGAGTCAATACAGCCAATAGTTTCTAGGCCTCATTGTCTCTATACTTCATTGCAAGTGAGACACCTTTGGCTGGTCAGCTGAAAACCTCTCTAGACACCTTGAAATACGTTGATGAATGGCTCAGTTTAGTTGTCTAAACAAGGCTCCTATTGTCATTTCACACACTAGTGCATCCAGGATATGCACATGGGGTAGTAGATAGGACACAGGATGCTTGTGAAACCTGTGCCCTTCTGAGTAGTATCTGATGGCTATGTGAGAGAATTATGAAGAATAGCATGCAATACGGAGAAGTTAGCTTGTTTGCAATCTTAACCTTTTCATTTTCTGACATTGTGATCTCAAGAGTACTTCTAACTTAAAAAAAAAATAAATAAAAGAAATCAAATAAAAAAAGCATCTATGATTTAACCTTTATTGACTGAAGGAGGCAAAAAAAGAGATCAGAGTTGGCCAGTCTATCTCTTTGTAAAATCATCCTGTGCCCAGGAATATCATTTAGCTTAACGAGAAGGACGTGTATAGCAAGAGCCATGAAGGGGGGAATCTGATGCAGACACAGCAATATGTTGTGTGAAAATGTGAGCAAGAAATGAGAAGTGGCTGGAAGAGAGATGGGCAATTAGAGGTAAGTCCGCCTTCGTGAGTGATGTTTGTTGACAGCATGTCCACTGATCTGAACATATATGGGTTTATTTATTTAAAAAACACGTGCTTGGACTAAAAGACCTTTTCCCTGAGTTGCAATAGTAGAGGCATTTTTAACATATCAGCTTTTTTTTTTCCCCTCTGTCTGTATAGTTACCTTGATAAGTCCTCCATCATTGTATAGTTAGATTCATTGTCTTCTCTTAGACTTCCATTTGCCAGTAAGGATTTTTAGGGACAGGTATATTCATAACTGCCTGATGGAGACAATATATTATATTATTGTGTTAAAAAAACATAAAGCATGGCTTTCCATCTAACTTTACATAAAGGAATCTTCATTGTTTATTTTTCATTGATTTACTAAATTAACAAGATTATTTAAACTGTTTATTAGACAAATACCTTAAAACTTTAGTCAATTTTTCCAGGAACCCCGTAAGTGTTGCAGAGCAACATTTCAGTTTATTATAGAGGGAGCTTTTCCTTGATGTCAAGTCAGCCCTGAAAGTTAAGAATTAGACAGACATTGATGTTTCTGGTTGTATTCCTATGGCTGATTGTGTGAGAATGTGTCAGATGGAGCTCTGTTTTTACTTTAATCAATATTACAGAGCCTTTCTATATACGAAAGTTAATATGCATTAATTGCACTTCACATTACTTTTGAAATTCCAATCTGAGAATCTGGGAGGTAATATTACCTCATACACATAGGCCCCCCCTCCCTCCCAAATCATGATGTTTTTCTCAAGCTACAGAATAGTAAAGTAGCAATACCGGGATATAAACAGAATAGGCACTGTGCATTTCTGCTATCTGTTTGTAAGACCAACAGGAAAGCAGTTTGAGGGAAATCTGTTGTGCTTACCCTACTGGCACAAGATTTTATAGAAGGAACTTCTCCTTTGAAAACTTAGGATGTCCTTGCTACCAACATTTTCCAGAGAAAGTACTGAGGATAGGATGCTTAGTTAAGTATGCAGTAATATATTTCGTGGAGTCTCAAGAAGTAGAAATAAATACATACATCAATCAGCTACTCTTTTCGTGAGGCAAAACCCAAACTTTTTTCTATATAAGCTTATTTCTGTTCTTAATATGTCCTTGACCTTTAAGATAGTTTGAGGGTCATTTTACCCATAACAATAAAAAGAGGCTTTAACACAAGAATGAAGACAGTAGTCTCTTGTGCATGGTAAAGTACATGCTGTTCCTTTGCCGCACAAGAAGAGTAGCACGATCATGAGTCATGAATGCAGGCTGAAGCCATGTGCTGCATAATGCTTGCTTCTCGTTTCCTGCGACTCCCTGGTTAGAAAGAACTTAAGAAAGCAACCCACATTGGTCCTCCAGTTCCACAAATATTTGGTTTTGGATACATAACAGAAAATGTACACTCAGATGGAAAAGGTTAATGTGAAACAACTACTTAATTAATTGCATAATCATCAATAAGTGATTGGTAACTCTCTGTCTCTGCCGCTAATGGTGCTTTTAGTATTCATCTTGCACATAGAGCAGTACTGGACTGGGTACAGCAGAATGTTTTTAATGGCTTTGTCATCTGCAGTGAATAGAATTTTCTGCATAGAAATTCAGAACATTCAAAAGCGAGAACTTGAACTAGTTAAGACATTATTAACGCTCAGAATACTGCAAAAGGAATAAAAGGGGGAAAAAATCTAGGTAATAGAAAATCTGCCAATTAGAAAATTATACAGGAATCAAGAATAAAATCTTGGGCAAACCTCAGCCTAAATAAAGTGCGAAGTGAATTCTACTTTTCTGGAAAGAACTTAAAGTGTTTCTATTATCATTCTAAATTAACAGAAATATAAATAATCACATAAAATAAAAAGTATAATCATCTCCTTCACATATTGCACACATGAATCATAGAATCATAGAATCATAGAATATCAGGTTGGAAGGGACCTCAAGGATTATCTGGTCCAAGCTTTCTAGACAAGAGTACAGTCTAGACAAGATGGCCCAGCACCCTGTCCAGTTGAGATTTCAAAGTGTCCAGTGTGGCGGAGTCAACCACAACCCTGAAGAGATTATTCCAATGGTTGACTGTTCTCACTGTGAAAAATTTCCCTCTTATGTCCAATTGGAATCTCCCCAAGAGTAACTTGTATCCATTCCCCCTTGTCCTCTCCATGTGACTCCTTGTAAAAAGGGAGTCTCCATGTTCTTCGTAACTACCCTTTAAGTACTAGTACACGGTGATGAGATAACCTGTAAGACTCCTTTTCTCAAGGCTGAACAAACCCAGTTCTCTCAGAATACCCTCATATGGCAGGCTTCCTAGTCCTTTGATCTTCTTGGTGGCCCTTCTCTAGACCCCCTCCAGCCTGTCTACATCTTTTTTGTATAGCGGGGACCAGAACTGTACACAGTATTCCAGGTGCAGCCTGACAAGCGCCGAGTAGAATGGGATAATGATTTATTTGTGCTGGTGATGCCCTTTTTGATGCAACCTGGCATGCTATTGGCCTTCTTGGTCGCAGCAGCACACTGCTCACTTATATTGAGCCTCCTGTCCACGAGGACCCCCAGGTCCCTTTCCACAGAGCTGCTCTCCAGCCAGGTAGATCCCAGTCTGTGCTGCCCTCCTGGCTTATGTTTTCCCAGGTGCAAGACCTTACACTTGTCCGTATTGAACTTCATATGGTTCTTGTTAGCCCACTCTTCCAGCCTATCCAGATCTTCCTGCAGGGTGACTCTCCCTTCTGGAGTGTCCACTTCCCCACTCAGTTTGGCGTTATCTGCAAAATTCACCAGGCTACACTCAATCCCATCATCCAGATCACTTATAAAGATATTGATTAACATTGAGCCCAATACTGATCCCTGGGGGACCCCACTTGTGACAGGTTGTCAGTTTGAAAAAGAGCTATTTACCACCACCCTTTGGGTGCGGCCTGCCAGCCAATTCCCCACCCACCACACAGACCACTTGTCTAGGCCATAATGTATCAATTTCTCCAGGAGGAGGCCATGGGGAACCGTGTCAAAAGCCTTGGAGAAGTCCAGGTATACGATGTCTACTGCTCCCTTCATGCCAACCAAGCAGGTCACTTTGTCGCAGAAGGCCACCAGGTTTGTCAAGCATGATCTGCCCTTACTGAAGCCATGTTGGCTTTTCCCAGTCACATGCTTCATTTGACTTGTGATGGCCCCCAGGAGGATTTGTTCCATAACTTTCCCAGGGACTGAAGTAAGACTGATGGGCCTATGATTACCCGGATCCACCCTTGAGCCCTTCTTGTAGATAGGGGTAACATTCACTTTCCTCCAGTCCTCTGGGACATCCCCCAGTCTCCATGACTTCTCAAAAATTATGGAGAGTGGCCTCGCAATGACATCAGCCAGCTCCCTCAACATGCTCAGGCGGATAGCGTCAGGGCCCACTGATTTATAGGGGTCAAGCTCCTGTAGTAATTCACATACTAACTCTTCCTTCACTGATGGTGGGTCTGTGTTTGGATCAACCTGGATTTTCATTCCCAAAGCCTGGGACCCAACAGTGTTGGTAAAGACAGAGGTGAAGAAATAAATGAATGAATGCCAAACCAATTTAACATGTGATTGTAAGAAGAGAAAATCGTACATAAAGTAATTGAGAAGCATTCTTTCCATGGGTTATGTTTTTCCATCCATAGTGCGGGTTACACTTTTCTCACTACTATGTAATCATCAGTCTTGTGAAATGGAAGGAAGGAGATGGTTTCTTTATCTAGTCATTACTATCTCTCTCTGCCTGAGTCAGACCCTCCACAACCTATAATATAGAAAGCAATGTTTAATCCTAAAGCCAATGGAGAGAAATTATAAAACTTAAGGTGTATGACAAATCATGTTACAGCAGTGTTAGACTGCAAATGTTGAAAACAATCCACGGTCAATGCTGAGGTTGAAATGCATAGTCACAATGAAAGCAAATGGGAAGTGCTAACAAACTGGGATCTATTCCCTTAAATAATAGCTATCAAACTCATAATTGATGCAGAAAATCCTTTACATTTTCTTGTGCTCATATCCCTGCCTGTAATATTGTCTTTCATTCCAAGACAGGTTGTACAAGCTACTAACTTAATAAACCCATTTAAAGTGAGAATGATGTTTGAGAAAGGGCAGAAAACCCCTGATCTGATTTCCATGGATACATGATTTTTCTAATCAGATGTGAAACTACAAAGGAGCCCAGGAATATGTGTTTCTGTTTTGTGATGCAGCTGAGCCTACATACTGCACAAAAACAACAGATACAATTTTCTGACTACAAAAATGTATGTGTTTTATGGGAAATTTTTAAACATTTCTGTGACATAAAAAGAAAAATATAATTTCCTCATTTCATTACTGAAGACTTTGAGGAATGTCTGTAAAAGTCACAAATAGATTCTTCGTAAGTTCGAAACATCTGAAAGGTGTGGGACTGATCTTAGAGAGGTTTATTTTCAGGAGTACTTGTACACTGAGAAATGACAGCATTAACAACATAAATGAATCTGAGTGATTCATGTAGCTGTAACAAGTTGCTGCTTTAGTTCATAAAGAAAGGAAAGCAGCTACATATTTCCTCTTGCATCACATTACACTGACTTTACTCGAAACACATCCTTTGTTGTCTAGTGAAGACAGAAAATAAGAACACAAAAAAAATTTTCCTTTCAACTTTGATATTCACCTGTTATATCAAATGTAAAAACTACACTTCTCTTTATAACTTATGGGTTTGTCCTTTCTTTTTTGTATACCTGTGTTCATGCAACTAAAAGATGTAAAAGGTTAACAGTCCATAGCTTCACATTCCGCGATTATTATTTAAACTCTATACTAGGTCTTCAACTGACATTCAGCTGATAAAATACATGAAGCAAGCAGAGCTACAGTGATTTACTTTAGCAAAATATTTGAATGTATATCTTTGAACAATTTCACTGGGTTAATTTAAGCAGCACAGTGACCAGCAACTGGATTCAGTTTCTCATACATCCGCTTATGGTGCTCATAGGTCCGGCGTCATATTTTCAGCATCATGTGGATGTGTTGCATTAACTGGGGCTTGTCAGGTGGCATTAGCCATCTTTGGGTAGCTGAACTGAGCCCTAACTCCATAAAAACAAGGCACCTAGGGACTGATTTGCTGCCATAGAGAGGTACCTAGGCATTTAGGATGTCTGACTGTATCCTGTCCCATCTGCTGGTGCCACACCAGGAGATCTCAGGTCTGTCATTGTCCTGTTGTCAGCCTCCTGTGGATATCCTAAATGGTGTGTCAGTGTCACTATATACCTATGGTGACTTAACTGAATTCTAATCTAATCTACATTAATTCTCTTTACTTCCTTTGTAGACAGTGCAGAGACAGGTAATTCCAGATGCCTATTCATCCCATCCTAAGATACGTAGTGAAGAACAATTGAATTAATTTCTGATTTTTTTTTCCAGTGGAGGGTGTTTAAATGACCAGATAAAAAAAGATGAATTTTTTTTTGTGTGTATGAAATTAGATGGAGTTTCGCCTTAAAAGTTTGTTTAGCCTCAACAGATGCTCCCGTAAGCTACGTAAGAAAACTCAGTATTAACTGATAGACCTTGCAAGTACCACTGAAGTTAATGGAGAACTGGTATTTCACACCTGTTGAGGATTTCTTCTATAAACTTATTAAAAATCCCCTATGTTTGATCCCTTATAATTTGGCTATAATCAGTACTACTCTGTCATCCTCAAAGCAGAGCTTCTGTCTTCTACAGTATTAAATGCATAATAAAACACTAGCCAATACACACAGACAATATCTAGTGAAATACCTTGTTCATATTTTAATCTTTTCTCATCTTTTATCTCCTCCTGACCCTAATAATTCTTCCTATTCTTTTGTAGAAGTCCAGAAAAAAAACCAGTCTTTTCTAAGTATTCATGGAATAAGAATATTTAGATGTCTGCAGCATGACATGCAGGCAGGTGCTCCATTGCTGTATGGATCACGTGTATTTCCCTCCTAGTCTGAGCTGTTAACTTTTTCCATCCTGTCTCAGTGCATTGATCCTGCATTAGTTCTTCAATACCCACAACAATCTGTAGGCACCACTGCTTTTTTCTAATCCTCCACTTTTACTGAATATCAATTTACCTGTTTGCAGTTTTTTGTGTTGGATTGTGGTTTGGATTTTTTTTTTTGTTCCTCAGGAGAATTACCTGGGTTTATTGCATATTGAATTCTCTTATCCTCTACAGATTGATGATGTCTTAGTTTATTGAAATAAATTTCCTGTTTATTATCATTGGAATTTGTTCAAGTAAAGACTGCACAGGATCTTAATAATGACTACTATGAGCCAGAGCTGTATTATAAAATATTCTATGACTTAAGTATTAATAGATACTTGGGTGTTTATCTGCTTCTTAAATATATGGGAACTTGGTGCCAAAATGCATTTCACATTTTGACCTGCACTGTGTTGCATTATTTCTTTGTGCTCTGAGTATTTTCAAACTGAATACTCTAATTGTTTTTCTTGCCATATGGGATATTCTGTTTGCACCTGCAATCTGTAGTCCCAGTCATTACCATGATATTATAGAAAACTATATGTTATTTGGCTGATTAATACTTTTTTAAACCGTCTCAGTCTAATATATTTTTCATTTATTAATGGCTTTTGAAAGTTTGCAGGCATTTTCATGTAACGGTGTTCTTTCTTAGAAGAACAGAAATTATGTATTCATATGCTAACTGGCTAGTGTTTAAAACAAAGAAAAAACAACAACAACAAGTCTTTTCTAAATAACTTCATGAACAAATGCTAAACTTTCCAAGGAAGTACCAGGATCATTCTGTACCTGATGATCTGCTGTCATTAGAATATTCATTAACTCTACCTACTTCTCAGCTCTAAGTTGAGATGCTTTAAGTAAGTATAGTCATCATAGATTTCCCATATAATCAGTGAATGGATGTATGGACAGTGAGAGGATGTCAGAAGAGAACAGTCAGACATCTGTGAGAGATCTCTCGTAGAGAGTTTATTTGTGACTTCATAAAAAAGCTAATAAACTCAATGGCAACTAATGCAGCAGCTTGAACATGTAATAATAGCTGGGATGCAACCCAGAGGCTCCTCATCAGTCTGTTCTTTGTCTCTATTTTTAAGAACCCAGTTGTAAATATTCCCTGGCTGAATATATGTAAAATTTGTTTATTGGAACCGTCTATGTCTACCAATTTCATAATGAAGAACATTCTGGAGGTGTGGTTTTTTGTTTTGTTTGGTTTTTTTGGAGTTAAGGAGACTGTCAAAAAGAGATTGAGAATCTGAGACACATTTAAAACCAGGATGTGAAATGTTTCCTTTCATATAAACTTTATAATAGAGTGTGCTTCCCAAGCCAGTGTCATAATACTGTAATAGGGCATAGACTTTACTAGTGATTATTTTCCAGGGGTCCTTTGATATGGTACTTTTGATCAGATGTGTTTTATTTTATATTAAACAGGAAAATTGCTTCCTATACATGCTAAACACTGGAAATTCCAACGATGTTTGGACTTCAAGGCTTAAAAGGAAAACCAGTATTATCAGCTATACCAATACCTTTAGTCACAGGTAAATACTTAAATCTAGGTTATTATTATCTAAGTATTATAAAAAAGCATTTTCCAAAGATTCCATTCCTTTAAAAAGTTATATTAGTTTGATTTACTAGAAAAAAACCCTGAAAACTAGAGGAAAAAAAATGTGTACATACATGCACATCAATTCAGAAGACATTGGAAACTTTTAAATATTGCAAAATCTTTATTGCCAAATTATTTCCATGTGGAAATGAAAATCTTCCTTTTTCTTCCTGTTCCCACACCTGAGACCTCTTTGTTTCTTTATTCCCTGACATTAAGAAAATAAAAAAATGAAATGCATATGGTGTGTTCTATGCCCCATCCTCTGTCTCTCATGTGAGATTTAGAGAGGGAGTAGTGGGCAAGGCCCCCATCCGACCGCCAGCGGGGTAGTGTACTCCTGCACGTATAGGCCCCTGAGGGTTCCTGTACTTATAAAGAGATGGGATGACAGAGGAAAGGCAAGTAAAGGAGGAACTGTTGTGTGCTTATGTGTTAACATGTCATTGTCCTGGTATCAGCTGGGACAGAGTTAATTTTCTTCCTAGTAGCTGGCATAGTGCTGTGTTTTGGATTTAGTATGAGAAGAATGTTGGTAACACACTGATGGTTTAGTTGTTGCTAAGTAGTTTTTACACTAAGTCAAACACTTTTCAGCTTCTCATGCTCTGCCAGGTGCACAAGAAGCTGGGAGGGGACACAGCCAAGAGAGCTGACCCAAACTGGCGAAAGGGGTATTCCATACCATACAGCATCATGCTCAGTATATAAACCAGGGGGAGTTCATGGGGGGGCAGCAATCACTGCTCAGGACAGGGTGGGAATCCGTCAGCAGGTGCTGAGCAATTGCATTGTGTATCACTTGTTTTGTATATTTGT